TTGTTGTTGTTGTTGTTGTTGTTGTTGTTGAATTTTATTAAAAATTGGTCAAATTTTAATCACATACACAACATCAATCATAAAACAATTTCTAAAAGACTGAAAAGAATAAATTATACAAGTTACCAAAGAATATACAAACCTCATAAGAAAGTTTTTTCACAAAGGTCGTCATCATAACATAGAGAGCCAAAGAATCAGCATTCAACCGAAAATACATAAGTTTGAGATATACATCACTCTGTTAATTAGATTAATTAATTGTGCATGCTCAAGGGTAAATAGGTAGTTTCTCAAAATTCTTAGATCTAGCCCATGTTTGCAAGCCTTGCTCACAACAATCTTTGATTTCAACAGATACAATAAGTTTCTAATCTTAATTTCAGCAAAACAGCAAAAAGCTAATTCAAACTGCTTTTTCATAACTGCAAACAACCACTCCTGATATAAACTACAAAATAAAAATGACAAGTAGAGATATCCAATTCTTTACCACGGTGGCAAGAGATAGGAACAACAAATAAATAAACCCATCAAAGTAACTTTCAGTTCACTATAGCTGCAAATCAAATCATAATTTAGATTCTTGTTGTTCTTCATCTCAGGGTGTACCCACTAAAATCAAATATGTGTGTTCTTAAAGCTCATCAGGAAATACTGAATAAGAAATATACGCCAACTAATCAAATCACCATCCAAAAAAATAACAACCCATTAAATCACAAACCATATCTATAGACAACACGCCTATAGAATCAGCAGAAAACACCAAACTGAGAACAAATAGTGGTTGTAATGCAAAGCTAAATTAAGAACCACATTGCTGAATCAGGAATCAAAAATAGTTAAACTAAAATATTTACATCAGCTGTGACTCACTTAATTAAAGTGCTGGCTTTGATCAATTCCTTGCCTTTTGAAGTAACAAATTCTATATGCGTATCAGCAAAAGGTTTTCATTAGGCAATTAGGATGAAACTATAGGCTAAAAAAAATTATGAAATGACATACTTAAATAATCTCAAATAAAATTTCAAAAATTAACCCTCGATATTTAACTAGGTTAGAGTTTTAAAAAAGAAGGATCCAATGTATCGAATAGACACAACCACTTATCATGAATTACCAAATCAAAATAAAAGGTATTAACAACATAATTGAATTCAAAAACTAATATGCATGATACAGATGACTTCATTCTCAGCCATTGATTGATGTGAATCTTTGGATATGACATAAAAATTATCTTGTTAAGCTGTTATATCCCGCATCCAAGGACATCTCAAAGAGCTAAATATAATGAATTAAACTTAGCTTTATTTAGCTGATCGACTTGGGGTTATAGTCTTTACAAACAATCTTCTAAATAATCTTCTAGAAGAAATTTATGGCAGGCTTGGTTCAATGATAAAAAGAATATTTTCTCTATGGATGCCCTTTGGAGGTAAAGTGCCTTAACTAAACTAAAGCAAGTCTTAGATAAGCTAGTTTTATTTGGGCAATGGTTGGTGAGGATCGCAAGCCAGAGCACACTCACCATAGCAACCTCTTACGGCTTTAAAGCATTTATAATTAGAACTTTTCCCTTGGATAATGAGTTGAGGACCTACTATAATAGAAAATATCCCTTGGCACTTAATTCAATGTATGGCTTGACTTTGTTAGGACAAACCTTCACTCTTTTGAATAGATTCCTTCACATATTTTAATTTTGATGAATTTACAAACCACTAAATTCTCATGAATTTACATATCTAACACCTAATACTTTGTATTCACTAATATAACACTCTAATTTTTAAATAAGAACAAAAATACCACTAATATCAACATATATAAAAAGAAATGCCGTCTTCTCATGCATATGTTTCAATGAAATTTAGATTACTAGAGTGTTATGTAAGTATTATAAAAAATGTAAATGTTATATATGTAAATAATAAGAATACAGTGGTATGCATGTAAATCCCCCTTCTCTTTATAATTACAACTTAGTATGCATTTCGAATGTGATTTTAAAAACATTTGATTATTGGAAAAAACTTAAAATCGAATTAAAGCTTCCAAAATAGACTTCATAAGAATTAAGATATATGTCAACATGACAAGAGGTTTTAGAAAAATTAAAATGCCATTGGAGAACCAATCACAAATAAGTTTAATATGTTTAACTTGCGGCAAGATTGTACATAGTGATATTGAACTGACAAACTTTTATGTATGAAATTTATCATGTCAACTTGAATAAGTCAAGATTGAACCAACATGTTTCGAGCATTTGGTTGAAATTTTCATAAATTAAAGAAGTTGTGCTTTTTTGTGATTGGTAAGAGACATAATAAAAATAAATTATTGGGTCACACAAGACTAGAAATTGTTCATTCATTCTTTTTCTTTAAGAATGAAGGAGATGCACAAGAGTGTGCTAATTATAGAGGAATTAAGTAGATGTGTCATACTTTAAAATTTTGGGAGAGGTTTATTGAACCATAGGTTAAAACGTGATACAAAGATGTCTCATAATCAATTTGGATTTATGTCGAGCAAGTCTACTAGGGAAGCTATAGGGAAGCTATACATTTATTGAGAGACATTTATTGAGAGGTTTGATGGAGAAGTACAGAGAGAATAAGAAGGATCTACAAATGATTTTTGTTAATTAAGAGAAAGCCTACAATAAGGTTCCAAGAGAAGCCCTTTGGAGAGTTCTAGAGAAAAAATGTGTTGATATGACTTAGATTCAAGTCATTAAAGATATTTAGACTAGAGTTGTTACTTGAGTTCAAACAGAAGGAGGATTGACCAAGTATTTTCCTATTTTAGTTGGATTACATCAAGAATCGGCTTTAAGCCCAGATCTTTATAAAAAGTTCAGGAAAAACTTGAATTATGGAGG